TATTAATTACTATCTCACACATTCACAGCCACAATTGGCTAATACCTGTACAAATGTTGTTTCTTGTTTTATGGTACGATATGGTCTGCCTCGTTAGTATATAAACCCAGTATGTTTGGAATAAATGATTCATATTGCAGAGGCTGAGATTGATGTTCTGGACTTAACTGGCTGGGGCTAGGTGGGAATCAGGATCAATAAGGATTCTAGACTGCTCGTACGGGGTTTTATGCGTCATTGGTCCAACCGATAATTCACTGTTCTCTAATTGGCGCTCTCATCACGCTATACATCAACAGGTCACTCAGGCTGCAAGTTGTAACACTTTTCTAGTTAAATATAATTAAAACTTACTTAGAGATAGCTGTCCATAAGTTCAATTCCATATTCTTATTCATATCTGTCAGTTTTATAATGTTTGATTTTTTGTAATAACATTTTATGGGATAGATTGATTAAGATTATAGTTTATGAAAATTAATAGATTACATATTTAAATCTAAGTATAACGGGAGTTATTGACGGGAAATAATAATCTATTAAGGTATGTATTGATTGTTCTTTATTTATTTATTTATATGAACATAATATGTATATTATCAGAAGGAGGGTTTTGTGGAAAGTTTAATAATTTAATAATTGAATTCATGAGTTAATTAAAGCTAGACTACCATGGAAAATCTGGAAGTATTGGACAGTCGTTTCGTCCTAGTATGGGACTATTCAACAGTGAGTATCCACGATTCTGCTCTCGGGATTCGAACCCAGGGATTATAGATTTCGTATGTGAACGCTTAATCTCTAGACCAATGAGTTGGCCGGCATCCAATGGTGTTAATATTAACCAATCCATGTATATGTGAATGTATGGTTTTTAACTCTAGTTCTATTTCTTCGCTGCCATTAAGCATTATTAAACTTGAGATTATTTATAAAATAAAACAAATCATGTAATAATATTGACTTTCTATCAATATTCTGTATTTTTATTGATGTGAGATAAAATAAATTATATTCACCTGGTATTGTTTACTTTAATTATCCCATTGATGTTTAGGACTGTCACTGATTAGTCTCTTGTTGGCATATGTGAATCCTATGCGAACTACCTCGAGGTTATCTTAAGTCACAAACTTTATAAGCAAAGATGGATAATGGCTAGCAGCGGAATCAAGGAAGCACATTTCATTCTATTTAGGACTCGTCAGCTAGATGTACATGCATCTCAGAGTTGATGTTAACTCTGGGTACATTCAGCTGACGGGTTCTAAATAAGACGAAATGTGCATCCTGGATTCCACTGCTAGTCATTATCCATATTTGCTTATCAAATAAATTAGTTTCTGAATGTTCTTATAATCAATGTATAATTAGGTATTATATCTGGGAGTTGAGATTTGGATTTGGATTCTATAATACGATAAATTACAGACAATAATACTTCAAAGTATACAATCCATGCGTTAACAAGAGACAGAAAACTTGCAACTGTCACAGTAATTTAGTATACCGAAAAAAGTCTAATTTGAAATGTGCCAACTTTATATATGATGCAATAAAACATAATCCTTCAATATTTAGTAAAATCGCAATAAACTAAACGCAATAACAATCAATCATAGAATAGCCCCTAAATGCCCTGGTACGGCCGAGGGTAGGGAGGGTCCGCTCTCCCTCTCGAAATGCTCACACATGGCCACGCGTATATAGCCTCTGCCAGGGAAGTCCTACTCATTGCCTTCTCGCACTACGATTGTTGTTTACGAAATTGAGAGGACGAAAAGCGAATGTCCGGCGCTTTAACCGGGTTGGTGGACATGAAGAGTTCACCGACGGGAGTTGGAAAACCCTGATTCCAAACTAATGGTACACATGGGGTCAAGTATCCTGAAGGAACAAATGGCATATGAACCAATCGTTGGTCACCGGCTACCATGGGACTGCATCTTCCTACGTTGTTCCACTTCCTTGTGGATCAAACCTTCAGGTCGAAGTCTCCGGGTGTGGCCCCCTAAGAAAACCACCTGCTTCAGTTTGGACACCCGGGCAGTATCGCAGCCCTCACACATACCAACTGAGATTTGTGTGGTGCATATCTATTTGTTGCCTCCTTGTACCAATATCTATGTGTTAAAACAAAATAAAATAAAAAAACCCATAGAATAGCAACAGTTGTATGGAAAAGAATATCATAAGATTATCGTTATGGAAAAGAAATTTACATTTATGGACAAAATTAGACAACTTAAAATCAGTTTGTCATTAATTTAAACAAGATTTTATTATGACAAAATGATTTTAACTCTTCATTCATTTGTTTGTCTAGAGTATCTTTACTATGAAGCTCGTTAGTACTAATATTTATGCCCAGACTAGTGTCAGATGCTGTTATTATTCTAATTACAGTTTTATCAGATGAAATACAATTGAATTCAAAGCTTCCAGATATTAAAATTGTTCAACATTCAATAAACGTTTTGACAGAAGTTACCGAAGATCTTGACATTAATATGCATATTAATTCAAAGATATATATATATATATATATATATATATATATATATATATCAGTCTCATGAAGAGAGAGAATCATCAAACACTAATAATATATAATAATTTATATTCTGAAAATAATAATCATAGAATTCACGCCAGTTTACAGGGGCATGATCAGTTTGATATAAATAGTAACATTAGATGTACAGAACACACATGTGATAGAAGTAAGTTTTAAGTATACTAGTTCAGTAGTTGTTTAGGTAGTAAATGTGTATTACAGTGATCCAATGTATCAGCCGGGAACTTTTAATATTTCTTTAATGGACAGCTTGTTGATTTATGAACGGTGTAATTAAGGTCATTTCCTGAGCCAGATCGAATTAATGATAATTATCTACAATTAGAGAAAATAAAACGAAAACAGAGAGCACGGAACAACAAAGCAGTAATTACCAAAATATATGAATCAGGTCTACTTAAATGTTTCTAATGATTTTACCTATTCAGTTAGTTCTCGCATTTTTAATATAGTCGTTATTTATTATTTTATTTCAACACATAGATAATGGTACAAAGAGGCACCAAATACATATGCGCCACACAAATCTCATCCGATATGTGTGAGGGCTGTGATACTGCCCGGGTGCCCAAACCGAAGCAGGTGGTTGTCTTAGGGGGCCACACCCCGAGCCTTCGACCCAAAGATCTGATCCACAAGGCAGTGGAGCATCGTAAGGAGATGCAGTCCCATGGAAGCCGGTGACCAATAATTGGTTCATACGCCATTTGTTCCCGCAGGATACTGGAGCCCATGTGCACCATTGGTTTGGAATCCGGTTAAAGCGCCGGACATTCGCTTTTCGTCCTCTCATTTTCGTAAACAACACCCCCGCCACGAGAAGGCAGTGAGTAGGACTTCCCTGGCAGAGGCTATATACGCGTGGCCGTGTGAGAGTATTTCGAGAGGGAGAGCGGACTCTCCCCACTCTCGGCCGTACCAGGGCATTTGGGGGCTATATATACCGGATTTAGAAATACTAAGAATTATGGACATATATAGTTTTTAAACGAATGCTACAGTTTTAGTTACATTGAATGTTTGATAGCCAGGAGTTTGGAGAGTAATTGATAACAGAATGAGGAATCTTTTGAGATCCTGATTTCTAGTGAAACACATATCTACAACTCATCACTTTAAACAATATATTGTTTCTCACTAGCAGTTACTTGTTTAATGTATATAACAGAGAAGTCACTTTTATTCGGATTTGAAATTACTAGGTATTATAACTTTATATTCATTAAATTAAAAATTTATGGACAGCATTCCTACAGTTGAAGAACATAAGCAACTCGAAACAACAGTCTGCTAACCAATATCAAAGACACTATCTTCAATACGAACGTCAAGATAGTCAGTTCTACTGTACGGAGCTGAAACTTGGAGAACTGCCACAACCATCAACAAGAAGGTACAGGTATTTATAAACAAATGTCTACATAAGATACTCAATGTCCGTTGACTGGATATTATCAGCAACAGTCAAATATAGGAGAGAATGTACGAACTTCCAGCTGAAGAGGATTTTAGAAAAAGACATCGCAGTTGAATAGGAGATACATTTCAGAAATCACCAGACTAGAATACTAAATTGAAACGAATATAGGAAGACCGAAGAACATATTGACTTGGTAGTTGAAAACAGACATAAAAAGGATGAACAGTAACTGACAAGTCAGTCAGTCAGTCAGCTACAACGTAGGACTAGGCACATATATGCATCGGTCCAGGTTGCCATACCTCACTAACACAACAAGATGGACACCGGATTCATAAAAGTAGTTAATTCAGAGGTGGTAATATATAAAAGAAAGATTGCAATAAGGGTATAGTACAGGAAGAAAGAATTAGTTCGTAGAAAGAAAGATATGAAGCGATTTTAATCTCTTAGTTTAAGGGAAGACAGGGAGTGTATGCACCGACGCCATTGTGATCGATTCTGAGCCATATCACCAAGAGTCTCCAACCATTAGTTACGATAGTCACGCGGATCCCAACCAAGTAGTCTGTATCTATCAACATGGCTCAGATTAGAAGTTAGTGATTTCAAGGACTGATACCACGTTTTGGTTTGATCGCCCCTAACTTTCTTCCAACCATCCCCAACACCGGTTAGCATTGCACGTCGTGGTAATCGATGTTCTGGCATATGTAACTGGCAAGTAGCGGATGAAGAATTCCGTTGTATGTCTTATGCACATTCATGAGGGATCTTAGGCATAAATAAGTAAATGAAACATCTAAACTAAAAGGATACATATCCATCTTTACTTTTTAATAAGAAAAAAATACAACATAAAGAAAATATTTTCATGGCAATTTTCTTCATAATCAACTTAACAACATTTTTTACCGTTTGATCGTGAGACAGACATATAAAACCAAAGAAGTAGAATATATATATATATGTCTGTCTATCTATTATATATAAATAGATGAATATAAATCTAATTTCTATTGTATACGAAAGGATTCTATGTTTGTTTGAAGGAGAAAAAAAACCCGTTTCAGTTTCAATTTTTCAATTTTCTGTTCTGTCAATTTCATTTATTATTAATCCATAGTAACTGGATGATAACCGTTTAAGCCTATGAACATACACTAACTATTTTCATAATCATGATAAGTATACAAAGTAGTTCAATCCTATTTACATTTTCAATATAACAATTAAAGCATATTCAATATAATTTTAATAAGAAGAATTATGTTTATTTGTTTGTTTATTTAAAACGAAATCCACTTCTATTCTACATTGATTAAAACAATTAAAATTGTAACTATGCTATGAATCATATAACTGTGATTGAAGAAGACATTCAAATTAAACATTGAATATATATACTACTAAGAATCATAATGTATGGAGCAACAACAAGTTCTAAGAAAGGAAAAAGTAAGTCATATCTTATGAATATATTTTCTTTATTATTATTTCAATAGTTGAAATCATGTGTCATTTGAAGCTAGATCACCATGGAGAACCTAGAATCACTAGACAGCCGTTTCTTCAGCGGTGCTCATCCACTATCTCGCCTCCCTCGAGATTCGAACCGAGGACTTATCAGTTTCGCGCCAGGCGCCTAACCATTAGACCACTGAGTTGGCCAACATCCAACAGTGTTAATGTCTAATTTCAACCAATCCATGAAGTTACGCCACTGTCCATCATGGTCTTCAGTGAGCTGTTTAGGTTTATAGAGAAAGTAATTAATGATTATCACTGAAAACCAAGAAGCAATTGATAATTGTTCCGTTATAATATAAGACTTCCCTCTGTTTCATATTCACAACTCCATTATAAATGATAGGGTCAGTCGAATGTTTAACATCTGGATCATTGATTTGGTATCAAATAGTACATTAGTACATTAATTTGCCTTGAATCAATTTATGATATTACTAAATTACTTATCATTACTTGTGGTGGATAACTGTCTCATATGTGACATGATTGAACTCTACTGATCACTGTTTAAAGATGTTTTTATTATAAGTTTGGATTGAACAATTTACCTTAAAATATTAAATATATGAAGTCATGATATTAAATAAAATAAATTAACCTACGTTTATACATTTAAGATAATAGACTGAATGATCGTATCATCGGTTAAATTTGTAAGCAAGTGTCATGTGTCTTACATTATATTTTATTGAGGATGTTAGATCCATAGAAATCACTTGGTAAATACCTTATTTTTGTAATTTTATGTTGGAGATTTAAATTTCCTTGTTTTCGCGTCAGCAGCGCTCATTTTCACATTCATGTGGTATTTCCCACTTGGGAAGATCTTAAACACTATTGGTTTGTTGTATCATTTAGTATGCCATGTTGTAACATTTTCCAAGGACAATTTTATACTGTATGTATACGTTTGATTTGTGCCTGTTGTTATTGCTCATGCTTCTGGCCGTTTGCAGAATATATTTCCCCAATTCAAACTTGGACTTCTTTCTCTAGTTAGCAGGGCTGGGACGCGTCAGAATAGTTAGCTTTCTATCATTGTGTCACAGAATCTTCGTTATGCTCTCATACAAAATAGAATATTTGAAGACAGACAATAGTATATTTAAATTTATATTCATCTGTAGCCACATTAAGAATGATAAAACATATTGAGACTTAAAATTAGTTCATAGTAAAAATTGAAAAATCTAAAAACTCGAGAGGATTTACTCGTTAATATAAGTTTCAATGGTCTGATTTAGATAAATGAATAAAGTTGGAAGTGAAAAATCATAGCCAATCATAGCGTCTAACTCCCATTGAACGATGAGTAGTCTAACAGGATCAATTTCACTGTATGAGATCAAAGTAAACCTTTATATGACAATAATTAAATGGCTCAGTTGTCTGGAGATTAAGCGTTCGCGCACAAGACTGAGGGCCCCGAGTTCGAAGCCTTGGAGCGGCATCGTCGATGCACATTCCCGAGGAGTCCCACAATAGGGTGAAACGGCTGTTCACTGCTGCCAGGTTTGTAATGGTGGTTTAACATCAATCGGTTCATGATCTCAATCAAAAACTTAATTAACTCCACAACCCTATACTGATAATAATTAAGCATGTACAGTAACGTAAACGAAAATTAAATATAAATTTTAAACTTTAAGTAAACAGTGACCTGTATTTAAACTTATTATAACTGTGCATTATTTCTGTTATTATGTTTGCTTGATCTATAATGTTTATCGATTGTAGCATCGGTATAGGAAACGTGTAAAATTTTGAGCTGTATAAAATAGATACATTTTGTTGTTGTTAAATAAATTAAAGTATATGATATTCACTGATTAAAATCATGAGTCAATTGAAACTAGACAACCATGGAAAACCTGGAAGCACTGAACGGCCGTTTCGTCCTAGTATGGGACTCTTCAGCAGTGCATATCAACTATCCCGCACCCCGTGAGCTTCGAACCCAGGACTTATCAGTCTCGCGCCAGGCGCTTAATCAAAGAAACCCCTTCTGATATATGATATTCATTATGATATATCGTAATACCTATTCTAAAAGGTTACATCACATATTTCGTTCAAGATATATGTGATGATGAAAGTCAGTTTTTAATTCCAATAGTTATCATTAAGAGCTTATTCATATCACTCAAATGTATCTGTTTGTTAATGAAAAAAAAACTTCGTGGATTAGTTGAAGTTAGACATTAAGACTGTTGGATGCCGGCCAGCTCAGTGGTCTAGAGGTTAACGTTCACGCTTGAAACCAATAGATCCTGGGTTTGAATCTAGTTGGGCGGAATCGTCGATATGAACTTCTGAAAATTCTCAACCAAGATGAAATGGCCATCCAATAATTCCAGATTTTCCTTGATGGTCTAGCTTATATTAACTCCAATAGTTATCATTGAGAGTAAATTTATATCACTTTATTTGATTGCTATTAGAAACAAATATGACTTTATTATAATAGACATAATGGATTCATGCTGTTGAAAAAAACCCACCACATCTATTGTAAAATTGTAGTTTGTATGTCAGGCATTTGTAAAATTACATAACACATTAACAAGAAATATCATGACAATTCATTGTGGGAATATAAAAATGGCTAATGGTTCATAAGAATATTGGTTTATATTGGAAATAATATATACACATTATTGTTATATTGACATACTGTATGTCATAGCTATAAACAAAGTTAATACTTGAATTCTACCTAAAAAAACAGTTTTACTATAAAATGAAGAGAATCTATATAGTAAATACTGAAATTCCGGTGATGTACACTGTTTTTGTGGCCTTGAATCTGAATCCAATTAAATGGTACGAATGAATGTTACTGATAATATACATATCGTCGATTCTCGTCTATAATCATCGACTTAATCGGCGTTGGTGAATAACGGAATTAAATTAGTCAAATACAAGAATGGATATTTGAATACACATATTTTGAACAATCATTGATCTGAATAGACAATCAGAGGGACGAAGCGAATAGGAAAGAGTGAAATGTTTACTTAAACAATAATAAAAATACTGACCTGAGGGGGATTATGGATTTATTAGTGATTATACAAAGACAATTTCTTGAAATGTCCTGATCATTAATTCACAATATACTTGCCTTATATCAATCTTCTTCATATATATATATGCATGAGCTAGGAGGCAGACTAGTAGTTATGTACAATAAAAATGAAGTGACTGACAGGCGCTTGTAAACTGCTAACTTATCAACGCGACTAATAATCTGTGATTGAAACTAGAAGAAAATGTGACTTGTAATTTATCTGCTTAGCGATGTGTTATGCCATAAGTTACAGAGTAATTATTAGGATAAGGCTAATTTTCTTTTATATCACAATAAATGATAGATAGAATAAATTATCGACAAATCTGTAAAAATTGTAATTGTTGAGATCATGAGTCATTTGAAGCTAGATCTCCATGGAAAACTTGGAAAAACTGGACGGCCGTTTCGTCCTATGGTGGGACTCCTCATCAATGAGCATCTACGATCCCTCCTCGCGAGATTTGAATCCGTAATAGCGAACTAGCTCAAAAGTTTGATTAAAGATAAAATATATAATCTATATTGAAAAATGTAAACAAATATGTGATGAATCTGTCTAAGCAATGATATTTAAAGAAGATTGAATTTTTGTTCAAAAATCGTTTGGGAAAATCATATTCACATTAAAATAGTATGCTGTTAACCAAATGAAAATTTTATTATTTGATTGAGATCATGAACCAATTGATGTTAGACCATCACAATTGAAAATCTGGAAGCACTGGACGGCTGTTTCGTCCTATTGTGGGACTCCTTAGTAGTGCGTATCCACGATCCCGCGAGCGGGATCCGAACCCAGGGCCTTTGATCTCGCGCGCGAACGCTTAGCCAACTGGACCACTGAGCCGGCATCCAATGGTGATCGTTTCTAACATCAACCAATCCACGAAATTGCGCGACAAACTTCCATTGTACTGAGGTAGATAACTGTCTCTACCCGATAAGGATTAGCTCCACTGGTCACGGCTTCTCACTGCTGAAAAGTCCCACAATAGGACGAAACGGCCGTCCAGTGCTTCCAGGTTTTCAATTGTGATGGTCTAACATCAATTGGTTCATGATCTCAATCAAAAACTTAATAATCTCCACAACTCCTATACTAGAAAATTTTATTGTAAAATTGTGAAATCAGATAATTGGGATTCATATTTTATGATCATTTAGAGTTAACGAGATCACATATTGAACAGTTATATAAGAACCAATTATATACCAATCGTTTCAAATCAATTCATGGGAAAGTGTGACAAAGAACTATTCAGAATTCTAGAAACATGAGTTTTAATTAAATATAAATAACTTATAGAAATTAGTTAAGGATTCGTTCCAGTCAACCTTTGCTTTTTGCACCACGGTTTTAAAAGTGATCGATAACCGACACTCACTTCGTTAAGCTTTGAAAGTTCGTCCACCATAACCCATAATAAATACTTATTATCAATAATTGTGTTTTTAAACTCAATGAACATGTATTCTATGAGAAGAGAATAATTACACTGATAATATCAACTATTTCATTAATTTATTTCATTTTGCCGAAATTATTGTGACGACGGACCACCGGTGAACTCGAGGAAGCTGTAAGAGGCTCAGAAGGAGCCGAAGACTTCTCATCCAATCACCTTTCAGAAGAACGTTCTAGAATTCCAACGTGTAGCTTCCCGATTGGATAATGCTAATAACCCCCTGTATGCGGATTGGAAGACTGTAATAATGATTTCGTTCTCACTAAAAACTATAAATACCTGACAATTTTGTACTACGATTGACACTGTTTGGAATAATATTCCTTTCATCAGTCCTCTGTCTTCTTATTGCGACTTGGAAGTGTTTTGGTGTTCTAGTGCTCTGT